TAATGTGCCCAAAAACATAAACATTGTTACTGTGATGTTTCCAAAAAGTAAAACGTCCCGTGAAAATACGGGGTAGAATAGGTCTTCAGCAACCCATGTTTGCCTTTCAAGGCGACTACGCTTGTCGAAAGAGGTGACTAACGGGATCGGGTAGTCAGGCTCGCTGACTTGGTTGATACATGTCATCGTGTCCCAGTAGCGTGGATCGATGCTGATGAAGTCAATCACTGGATTGTATAGCCCAGACTCGATTATTCACAGACCTCCGTCATAAAGCTGGAATATTGCTGAGTCCGCTGTTAACACTAAACAAACAACCAAATAGTAAAAAATATAATATAACGTATGAACAGTAGAAGAGTATAATGTCAGCATAACATCAGAGTCCTGTCATGACAGGGAATTTACACCTTATGTTCCACGTGTGTTTATTCAGAAACAAAGTATGAAGCCAAGCCAGTCTCAGGCAAAATGAACTCAACATTGAGTCTCTTTTGGAAACATCTCCACCTTCCATTGAGCCAGCCCAACGGATTGGTCGTCTCAGCTCCGATTAGCCTGTAGTAGTTAATTGTATTTGGGCAGCTGTAAGGTTAGGCACGATTTGTGTATGGATTTGACAAACATGGGTTATTGTTACATGCACATTGACTTCCTTGTCTGGTGTAGCTGGCTTTCATTTGCTCCTCTGAGAACAGGTCATCAGTTTCACCTTTGTGGAACAGCTCAGAAGTTAAAAAAACTTGGACACCATATACTCTTTTCGGCCATCCAACGATAATATAAGTAAACACACATTTGAGGTAACAAACAGCTTGAAGCATTATTCCTGTTCTGATAGTCACATGGGCATGGGTAGTCCTGCACCATGACCGTGGAATATATTTATTTTATGAAAAAATAATAATCTAGAAATGCATACAAAAGCAAGTCTAGCCATCTCAAGCTAGCTCTATTCTGAAATCAGCATAGAGAATTGTTTTTATTTTTAGAGTCAAGAAGGATATTGTGTAATATAAGATTTCAGAGACTAAATGTTAGTCTAGGGCATGGGCCGAACCACTGGTTGGGATGTGAGGTGAGGTGAGATTGGGTTTAGCGTCGCGTCCAAGATTATTGCACTTATATAGCGACGTGCATGCACCTGTGTGTGTGGCTGCTTGTACTAGTCCGGACTGATGCCGATTTATAGTGCTAGCACACTGAGATACCATGCCGCAGTTTAACATGAATACCTCACTCAGACACAGTATACTGACTCCGACCCGACCAGTCCTTGTTTTAGCCCCTTAGTGCCGAGCGCCAGACAGGGTAACAACAAGTACCACCTTTTAACGTCTTTTGGTATGACGCGGCCGGGGATCGAACCCCGGACCTTGCGGATTGGGATGAGAATGCAGTCGATGGCACCACAACGGTTTGGGAATCTCAGATCTTTTCGTAACCATAAATGACAGCCTGTAAATAATCATTTTGGGGACATCTGAAATAAGTGGCGCTATTAGAGTCAACAACAGAATGCAAACGTCTCTCGCACCCCACCACACTGAAGGCCTCTCTTCACCAAAAAGGTTTCAAACAGTCCTGAACTCAGGAGACGAAAAAGGACCAATTGCATGCTATGGCAAACTTCAATGCAGATGTTGTCTGACTGGTATACAGTCTGCAGATAGGAACATGTTTCTCTGGTCATTCGAAAATTTGCAATCCATTGATGATCTGTATTGGTTCCTTTAACAATACCATACGCGTCATCTTGATTTCATCCGGGTGGCAGTGGTGGCCCAGTCGTCTAAGGCGCCGCGATTCGCTGTGCAGAGTTGCGTCCCTTACACACGCCAGGAACCTATGATTGCGGGTTCGAATCCCGATTTGCGCCGATTATGTTTCTAGGTTTGTCAGTACCATACCCCTGCTCCTGGGATCCACTTCGGGCGTTCCTCCCACATCAAGCCGATACGCCGCGATATAACTGGAATACTGTTAAAAGCGGCGTTAAACCCAACTCACTCACTCACTTGATTTCATCCTCATTCATCTTTTGTTGTGTCAGTCCTAATGTCAGACCAGTACAAACAAATATGAGAAAATTCGTCTTCTCTACCAAGTACAAAGAGATTTCAATGCTACTCTTGGGTAAACAAAACCTCTTTTGCGCACGTCACACATACATGTATTGCATCTGAACGCATGGTATTAATACCTCTACTTGCATACGCAAATTTACTATACATTACAATATTACTCGTGTGTGTATTTTCTGCCATTATAATTTCATTGCATTAACACAGATTATGTTTCATACCAAACTATCCAACATGAAAATGTAACAAGAATGATAAGTCACCCCCTACCGCCTCTGGCCATATTAGCCGTACACGAGAGCGAATGTGTTTTGGTAAGTAAAAAATCGAACCAAGATCAAAGATTAAATAACTTAGTCAGAATGGGATTTTGTTTCAATCCGGCGTCAAGCTTATTTCTTTTAATATAAAAACCACATTCACATTCAGCTTCGGAAACCAATATCCAAACTAATTATCATTCCTCAGTAGCGCTTTTGCCAAACCGCAAGACTGTGTATACATACAAAGCGTGTTCCTTTCGGCTTCTGGGCAACACTGTTTCATATTAATTTACCGATGTAAGAACTCGTTTCTTTCAAGTTGAAGAGATGAAAACACACACGTGGGTATAGGTTCCCAAACAATAACACAACTAGCCTTGCAACCGTAGCATCTAAGAACTGCGCATGTGCGGAAGTGCCATCTAGGATCGCCATAATCGCGGTAGGTGAAAAAAAAGGGAATTAATCTTCTGTTGGGTTAAAATAGTGTTAAATAGGACGGCTTTGAAATGAAAGCTCGTGCTATGTTCTAAAACATTTCGTTAAGATGTGGATGCGATGTATGTGATATCACGCATATTGAATCTGACTTCGAAGAAAAAGAGCACGAGTGCCAATTATGCAGGGCAATTAATTGTCCCAAGAGCTACGAAACTGATGCTGACTATTTAAGGGACGCACCACCCTGTCCTTATGTTAATAGTAGCAGCAAAATTGACATATTACAAATTACCCTCGACTAATGAGTTTTAGAAACCGTAAAATTACTTTGTAATCAAAAGATTACTTTTCAAAGACTTTTTGCGCTTCTTGAGATAAATTTACATCACAAGTGAGATTGTATTTATGATATTTAAGCTCCAACTAATGATATTTTGAAGTTTGTTTCTTTGAAAATATTGTATGTTAAAGGTGCCAGTGAGACATTCCAATAATCTTCGTTCCAGTGTAGATTTGTCGTTGCAGGACTTTGATCTTTAAATCAGCGTGAAGATTCGAAAACAGTGCAAAAACATTATGGCGAATAAGATCATATCCTCATTTAAAATATGTACGTCTTCAAGAGGAACTTATCTAAGATGCATCATCAGCGCTAAAATTAAACTGAAATTAAAGTTAATTTCCTTGACATAACCGAGTGTAAATTATCACAGTTAGTTCAAATACATTTTCTTTATACACTTATAATCATTCAAACACTGTTCGTTGCCAAACTCGTCGTAGTGCGCAATTTTTCTGAATTCTGCATCTTTTCTCGACACAATTGGGTCCAAATAAGGTAATAGTATATATGGTTGCATACAATTGTTGTTTTATCAAGATTGTGTCAGCAGACCAGTTGCGGTGAGGTAGCTTTGTGGTTAAAGCGCCGAAGGCCCGGGTACGATTCCCCACATGGGTACATGTACAATGTGTGAAGCCCATTTCTGGTGTTCCCCGCCGTATATTGCTGGAATTTTGCTAAAACAATACTCACTCATCCTTACATAGGAACTAGTCATTGCAAGTCTGATTATACAAGTTAGTAGATAGTAAATTTACATCCTTGATGAAGGACAGCGAAGTCCCATTCATCACTTGACCTGCACCACGTTGGGCTCCCTTCCCACATCAACCGGACAACTGAGATACTGTTCAAAGCGGCGCTAAACACAACTCACTCACTCTCTGTTTCTTTGGTGAATTCTACTTGGCAGATCCCTATTTATTACAAACATTGTTCTAAACATTATTGTCACACTCTTGAACACATAGGCACCATCCATAGGTTTCATCCACTGTCCACATTCGCTATCCTATGTGTTTGTAAATATCTATTTGTTTTGTTACCTATATCATTTTGTGCTCAGTCTTTCTATCAGCTGTCTGATAAAGGTACATGCACAGATCATTTATCGGTATAGGCTACCGCTAAACAAAGATCTGAGGACATCCCATAACGGGTCACGTCAGAACGACCTTCTAGAACTTTGACCGACCAATGAAATGACTGACAAGAAATCGACATTAGCCACTCAGAAGGACGCTTTTTCGAGCTTTACGACACAAGCTTCAAACTGGCGACTACGCTTCGAAACATATTTTGACATTTTCTCGATTAAAAACATTAAAACTGATAAAAAGAACATTCTGGTATGGCTTATAGATGACCTAGATTGTATGGATATAATAAAAAAAAATACGTAACTGTCGTAAGGAATACCCTCTGTTAAATTTTTCGAGGTTGCATGATTAGAAAACACATTCCGTCGTCACTTTCATGATCTGTTAAGCGACGCTCTGATTGCTTGGATGAAAGGTCGTTCTGACGTGACCCGTAATGGGATGTCCTCAGATCTTTGTTTAGCGATAGCGAGAACTAAGATCTGATTTTAATGAGATTGGTACAGGGTGTTTGGTACACCTAACTGTAATGAAACAATGTATTGAGAAATCCATTGGACCACCTGCTTTCAATAAATGTGAAATACCGGTTCATATTATATGTTCATTTGAGTATAGCAACACACAATACAACATTGAAAGGACAATACCAAGCCGTTTACCGTGACCTGAAATCTTATCAGTATTAATTAATTCTAAAGCAATTAAACCAAAACGCATTTGAAGCCGTCATTTAGTGTCGATCAACTCTGGACAAATGTGCACTTACCCTCGGAACATATATGTTTAAGTATAAACAGTCCTCATTTGTTCTGTTGAAGCCAGGGACGAGGTATTCAATGTAACTCACTCCGACTTTAGGTTGGGGACAAGCAGGGGGGAACTCCAGTGCGTTGATCTCTCCCCAGTGTGGAGGGGGAATCGGAAACTGAAACAATAAAACACATGTTAAGACATATACTATATAAAATAAAAACGACAAAATTCATTCTATAATCGTAAGAAATCTGTGGTAAAAGCAGATTACGATTCCGACTCTATCATATAGCGAAATGCTGTATGGAGAAATAGATCGTTTAAAGCCAGACTGGTACCCTGCCCTTCGCCTGCGAGCGGTTGCTGGCTAGAAGCGCAAGCGCTCTGGGGCTGGTAAACCATCTCCCTCTAATAATTGTTGTCAAATAACAGAGAGATGTTTCGTGTACTAATTTACAGTTAGGAATATTTTAAAACATATTTTCATAGTTATTTATGTATATCGTATGTAAGCATATCATTATACATATGTGAGACATAGATAAAGTTTCTTTTTAAAGTTTGTTTACATCTTTTCAACTATAAGTCATACCGATTTAACTTTTTCAAACCTGGCGCCCTGCAATGAAACTTATCCTTTCGGGCATTTTGTGTGTAATATACGAAAATGAACTTGTTTCTGTTGTCCTGATTATAAGAACAGACTAAAACAAAATGTTGTGTTGTGTACATAGATGCTTGAGACATGACATTAAATTTGGGTACAAATAATCTCGTTTCAGTATTCATTCCAATGTCTGTAGTAAATAGTACTACTATACGTATGCTACCTGTTTAAGACGTAGTTTCGTTTGAATACAAACGCTTTCTTTAAAACTAAAAACAGGTATGGTAGTAACGAATTGTACGTTTGTAAGTACCCTGGTGTTTGGGCTGAATTCGTGCATTTTTGTTAGTTTGGTTGCACTTAGCAATATTCCAGCTACATGACGGCGGGCTGTAAATATTCGAGTCTGTACCAGGCAATCCAGTGATTGATATCATGAGCATAGTTCTACGCATTTGGGACATTATGACATGCATCAACCAAGTCAGCGAGCCTGACCACCCGATCACGTTATTCCCTCTTACGTCAACATGGGTTGCCGAAAACCTATTCTATCACAGATCTTCACGGGTTCCCGTGAGTATATTCTTCTTCAACTTCGTGAGTTAATTACATTTTGTATCAGGGTATCAGTATTTACAGGAGATATATGCGAGCAATATTTTGAAATAAGCTGCTCTGATAGGGTATCAGTGGTGATAACAGTTTACATGCATGTATCAAAATCCTTCCGTTGTTATTTTGTGCGCCCCGGGATCCTTGTCTTTTATTCACCTGAACATTTATTACGGCTGAACAAATCCGCCAATGTTTAGAGGGCAATAAAGAGTCGTATTTCACATTGTAATTGGGATCAAGCAGCCAACATAACAAGTTGCATCGCTATCTCCAAGTATGGCCCTTATGGTTAACCATACATTTTCACCGCCTTATGCTCAAAGGCCGATAACGTAAGGAAATGGATAGAATACTTAATTACAACAAGTTTATGTATCTCTTTGCGTCACTCAAAGCCTTGTTATTGCTCATTTATGCTCCCATTCGCGTTGTTTTATGGGTCCTACAACAGATTACGGCAATCAGATAGGCAGGAGTAGAGCCACAATCCCAGGCAAAAAACACTATAAATGCCATTTTTCTTGAGACCTGCAACCCCGTTTGCTTGTATCAGCTTTTTGTGACAAATTTATTGAGAGACATGTAGACATTTTGACCTCAGACTCATAAGAACAATTATTGTAAATGGAATTCCCTTCCATTGTTCTTGCTATAGTTAACGAGGTGCATGTGCATGTAGGTAAGTGGTATGCATGATAACCATTTACGAGTTATGGCCTTTCTTATCTCATCATGTCGGGTTTTTTACGTGACTGGTATCGCTGTTGGAATGCGCGGCGGTCTAGGCGCATTTAGCACCTATATCGGTAGGCCGGAAGCTAGTCAATGCTTCAGTTTTAGTTAACTGTTATGTTAAGCCTCGCTCAAAATATTTACAAATTCGCCTTAGGAAATAACTAATTTGACCGTTGAAAGAAAAGTATTAGAGCCGAAAAGGGAAAATTATGTTTAGCGGTGACAAGAAATATCAACATGGCGTTCATTAAAGGTGAAATGTAAGTTTTCCGAGGTGTTTTGAGATGGGGCAACATATATGTATTCATTTATGAAAGATACAGGAAATAAAACCGTGAACTCCCGAAATAGACGTCGGGTAAAAATTGATTCATCAGAACGGGACCCGTGAAGATCCGGGTTACAATACAGGTCTTTAGCAACCCTACTTGTCGCATGAGGCGACGATGCTTGTCGTAAGAGGCGATTAACGGGCTCGGGATGGCCATGCTCGCTGACTTGGTTGGTGCATCGTATCCCAAATGCGTAGATCGATGCTCATGATATCAATCACTGGATTGTCTGATCCAGACTCGATCATTTACAGACGGCCGTCATTTAGCTGGAATATGGCCGAATGCGGCGTAACACAACAAACCAGCTCTGAAGTGATATTTCATAAGACCCGTGAAGATCCGGAGTAGAAAATATCTTAAGCAACCCATGCTTGCTGTAAAAGGCGACTATGCTTGTCGTAAGAGGCGACTTGGTTGATGCATGTGATCGTATCCCAATTGCGTGGATCGATGCTCATGAAGTCAGTCACTGGATTGTCTTGTCCAGACTCGATTATTTACTCGACCGCTGTCATATAGCTGGAATATGGCTGAGTGCGGCGTTAAACAACAAACAAACAGCACCTGAATAGTTAGCGAAAAGAATACATCTCCAACCCTTACTTTTTCACAACGGCATACAGTAAGATTCTGTAAGAAGAACTCCAATGCAGCTTGTGACACATACAATGCACGCTGCCTTGAAATGACATGAAACTATGTATCGCTGTACGGAGGTTGGCAAAGAGTCTGTAACAGTGACATCGGTATTGGTGGCTCGCTTCAATGAACTGATAAGAATACAATATAATGGGTTAACTGTTTCTTGGATTGGTAGTAACATCCAGATGTCCAACACATACTGGTACAACTACTGTAAGATAAACTATTACGCACCAACCCCTCCATTCGTGACCAACTCGTGTTATTCCGGGACAAGCCGAATAGCGACTCGTGCCCCTCTCGTGGCCATTTTTGCGACCGGGTTCCGTCTAAGCGCAAACGGGCATCCCTAAAACAATTGTCAACTCGTTGCGTAATGGTTCACACATTTTCCCCAGATTTCCCACATTATTTCAGATGCAATTTAAAGCACGTCGGGACATGCGGATTTATACAGTATGAGTGAACACATTTAACTGTGTCTTTGGTATATTTTTAGATGCAAGACATATGTTAATTCAAAAATTATTTCTGAGGGATTCTTTGACGAAGAACTTGAAATCATACGCGCATTCTGATTGGTTTGTCGTATTTTCGCACATAACATTCATCGATAGGGGGACGAGTCTTCTTGCAGGTTACGGAAAGGGGCGAGTGGTGACGAATGCAACCCCTCGTATCTCTTATGCGTTCTTCTGAAACTGTGAACATGAATCCAATGATTACCATTAAGTAGATTGCTCCTGAATGAATCATTGTATTTTGAGAACGAGTATGCATCATGTCATTCGGGTACCTCGTAACATGTTTAACATACATGCAAACTTGGCGCTACATCATACTGTCAGATGAAAGCGAGATTAACAAGACCGTAATGTTCTCACTTAAAAAATCACTAACCCCTGATGCTCAAAAGTAAAGCATTTGGGCAGGTTTGCTATGTGGGACTTGATACACAGCGGCTATGTTTACATGCATGTGTCTCTTTTCGATAACAATCTAGAAATGTACCCCCTAAGAACAAAGTGAAACTTGTTTGAAGTTTTTTTAAGTTTTGTTTTTAATGTAGATGTTTTAAATGGGTGTTTAAACAGTGAAGCTATTTTGGCTGATTTGGAAACACACAAGACAAATTGACCGTGTTATCTACAATATACGTGTGTGGATCGCAACAGTCATGCACGAAGTACAACTCAATGGATTCCCATTTACAATATGTGACAAAGTATCCTATGCAGTAACGATGATAAGACCACACAAAAAGTGTCCTTCCTTCTGGAACCGCCCAACACGAATATCCCTGATTGCTTGTATCCATTTTCATTTTTTTTCATTTTGCGACCTATTTCATACCCAGACCGATTTTCAACAAGTTTCATACAGAGATAACATTTCAAGACGAAACAGAAATGAACGCAAAGACAGATCGGAATGTTTTTATTGAAGTGACGAGAAACTAAATGGTTATGAACACTTCAATACATGCAATGTATAAAAGCCATAATTGTTCATAGTGAGTGAGTGAGTTTGGTTTCTACGCCGCCTTTAGCAATATTCCAGCAATATCACGGCGGGGAACACCAGAAATGGGCTTCACACCTTGTACCCATGTCGGGATTCGAACCCGGGTCTTCGGCGTGACGAGCGAACGCTTTAACCACTAGGCTACCCGACCGCCCCTAATTGTTCATAGACACTTGACATAGTTTTTACGATTATTTATAAAAATAACCCGTTTATGGTAGACCTGTGGAGGACATTTCCAAATGAACCAAACTGTACCAAATGTTCCCGTGTTTTCAGGTGAACAATTGATTTGCTTTTATTGTACCCATGTTGGGAATCGAACCCTTCGCATTGACGAACGAACGCCCCCAAAACGTTTTATGGTAGACAATTGGAGGATATTTCCAAATTTGGCGCATCAGTGACTAAAATGATGTGTTCCCGTGTTTGTCGAAGTGAACAATTGACTTGCATTTGCATGTGTTTGTGAAGGGTGCCATCGATGGTGCAGGACACGCTCATCTTTTCGCGAACAACTGGTATCATCACTATTTGATAGTGATTCATAAACACATGCTCCTGATATGGTTAGAAATCGTACAATCGGCTTTGCTTTCAGCAGAGATTTCTTGTGAATATTTAATGTGTTTTGTTGTATGTATTTTCATACATTGACAGATGGATGATCTGATCTGTTTGAATGAGAATTGGTGTATCGCCGTTGGAAAG